TGATTACATGCAGTATTCTACCATATGCAAACTTATATCATTAAAAGATTATACTGACTACTAAGTACAATTTTCCATTGACAGATACTAATCCCAAATTGCTCTTTTATGCACCCATAAGAGTATGAATGCGTGTGAGTGTTAGAAAGCACTTGCAGAAAAAGAGCAAAGAAAAAAATGTAAATGGGTGAATGAGACAAGTTGTGAAAAGTTATAAAAAGCACTTTGATTGCTCATAGTAGAGAAGTGCTCTATAAGAACCAGTCCATTTACCATTAAATAAAACAAAGTATGACTGAGGGTGTATTGAGTGCTGGCCTGATAGATAGCATCATGGCTAAACTGGAAACCTGGACCCTCCATGGCTGATTGCCAAGACTACGTGAGATACCCTCTGTAGGTCTAGTAGAAGGTGTGAATGTAGCACACTCCCTACTGCAACCATCACTAAATCAGCTGATCTACACCACAGCTGCAGTGATCACTGAGCTGCTTGGCTATAAAATGAACAGTTACAAGGAGCATTACTCTCCGTGGAGAAGGTGACTAGAAGCCAAGAATAAGGCAGCACAGAGCCTGTAAAGAAAGGGGTGCCTAAGAAGTACAGCAAGCTGTCTTGGAAACTGCCAAGTAGAGGTATACCAGAGAAACAGAAGGCAGGAGAATAAACCAGCTGTACTGTCCTGAACCATCCAAGTGGCAGTGTAACAATGTGAAAACAGGCCCACCAAGAGTGGAGACGGAGCAAGACTGGAAGAGCATATGGGAGAAGGATGCAACCCATAACAATAAGGCTCAGTTGATAGTGAATCTTAAAGCCGACCACAGCAATCTCCCTGAACAGGGTCCGGTAGTCATCACAGGAAAGGGTCTCCAGTATGTAGATATGAACAGCACCTGGTCCTGACATGATTCACACCTACTGGCTGAAGAAGCTGACTGCACTCCATGAGCATCTGACAGCACTAATGGACCAGCTGCTAGTAGATGAGATATGTGGATTGGCTAACTGAAGCCCAGTCAGTCCTGATCCCCACAGTTGGATATTTTACAAGAAAGCCTACAAATGAATCACGGAACTATATAAAATCAACAGGGCCATAAGAGCCTTCGTCAGGAATTCAATGGGGATGTGGCAAACGCTTTGCTTAGGCTGCTGCCCCCGTGACCCGGCCCCGGATAAAGCGGATGAAGATGGATGGATGGATGTGGCAAATGCTAGAGGCCAACTTCAAGCCAGTGGCACAAGTCAACATTAAGTGCGGGATTTACAAAGGAGATGCTCTGTCCCTATTGCTGTTCTGCATAGGCTTGAAGCCCCTTAGTGAGATTACTGACAAGACTGGCTATGGATACCAACTACACAATCCACCAGTCACCAGGTACCTTCACTGCAATGATGACATCAACCTTTATGCCAGGTATGGACAGACAAACTGGTGATGGTTAACTAACCAGATGTAGTAGTGGTGGAAAAGCAGAAGAAGATGGCCATAGTGATAGATGTAGCTATACCGAATAATGGTAACATCGGGAACAGGGAATACGAGAAGCTCAAAGTACTAAAGGTTGAGGGAAGGACTTGAGAAGATGTGAAGGAAACAGTGGTCCCAGTGTTAACTGGAGCACTCATTGCAGTGACCCCCACACTGGGCGGGAGGCTCCAGCAAATCACAGGAACAGCATCCATGATCTCTGTCTACAATAGCGCAGTCCTAGGAACAGCAAGGAACTGTAGAGGACTCTGAAGCTCCCAGGCCTCTGGTAGAAGACCCGAGTTTGAAGGATAATGACCGTCCAGAGGGCGAGAGGGGAATCGCAATCACAGTGGTCACTGAGATGCCAAGTAACAACTCTCAGCCTTCGAAAGCCGCTTGAAGAGGTATACCAGAGAGATAAAATCAGCTGTACTCCCCTAAACCATCCAAGGTGCATTCTCAGTGGCAGGGGGAAAGCCCGACCAAGTCTGGAAAAGCAGCGTATTGGAAGAGCATATGAGAGGAGGATGCAATCCATAACAGCAATGCTCAGTGGCTAGTGGAGCTAAGAGCAGACAGCAGCAGTGGAAGAGCATTTTAACTCAAAGGGTGGTGGTTCGATTCCCATCTGCTCCAGTCTGCCTGCCAAATTATTTTGGGCAAGATACTAACCGCAAGTTGCTCTCATAGGAGTATGAAAGTGTTTGAGTGTTAGAAAGCACTTACAGAAAAAGAGCAAAGAAAAATCATGACGAGTCGGACTGCACCGGGCCCTGACATGATTAGTGCCTACAGGCCAAAGAAGCTAACTGTTAAGCTAATTTGTGTTAACAGCACAAATGAACCAGCTGCTAATAATGGCACACACCCAGAATGGCTAATTGAAGGTCTGACAGTCCTGAATCTCATGGATCCCCAGAAGGGACTGGTCCTGTCTAACTACTGGTCAATAACCAGCCTCAGCACAAGATGTAAAGTGCTGGTCCTCTTAGTGGCTAAGACGAACGGGCACATAAAGTCACACAGGATCTTAGCTTGCCCATTCTCAACCAATCTCAGGGGCATATTCCATTTGGAATTTGGGACTTCCAGGCCATACTAAGCACAGATATTCCTGTATACTATGTCAGCATATATGCCCTGCGTACTAGCATCTTGTACCATGCTGTTATGTGCTGGATTGTCTCTTTTGCGCTGCCTGCACCTAGTGTCTTGCCTGGTGTGGTAGAGCACCAACACTGTGGATCTTGTGCTCAGAGCTTATTCCTGTGCTGCCATTATTAGTGCCTCTGTGCTGTCTTTCAGTCCAGCTTTGTCAAGGCATTGATGTTACTTGATATCAGCCACTTTTTCTATTTTACAGTGGTACATGCTGTGCAGGGGCCTTTCCTTCTTTGATGGTCCCACTTCTTGCTCCTCTTCTTTTTCGGGTTTCTGTTGTCTCAGATACTGACTCACATGAGCAGTTTTGCCCATCTTCCTGACTCATAGATCTTTGTTGTTTCATCCTGGATAGTGGTTCTGACATTCACTAAGCCTCAGCCTCCCTCCTTACGCTTAGCATATAGTCTCAGGGTGCTGGACTTGGGGTAAAATGCTCCATGCATGGTAAGGAGCTTTCTTTTGCCTTTGCCCTTGGTTTCTATCTCTTTCTTTGGCTAGCTTATTTTCCCAATTGGGGTATCTGATCAAAGGCAGGATCTTGTTCTTCCCATTCTGCTGACTCCTCAGGACTTGTCTTACTTTCTGCAGGTACTTGGTGGTTGCAGATTTTGTAGCGGCCTCTTCATGGCTCCCATTTGCCTGTGGGATTAGGTACTTGTAGCTGTCCTTGATGTCTGCAATGTTGCCTCCTGGTAGTACAATCCCCTCAGTTTTGACTACTATCCCTTTCTTTGTTACATTTTGTTTCACTGACTGCACTTCTCCAGTCCTAATGACACTGGAATGTCGTTGCTGCAGATCCTAGTGGTATGGATCAGTGAATCGATGTCTTGTTCACTCCTGGCATGCAGCTTGAGGTCATCCATGTGGAGCAGGTGGCTGATGATCCCTCAATTTCTTAATCAGTATCCATAGCCAGTCTTGTCAAATATCGCACTGAGGGGGTTTCAGGCCTATGTAGAACAGCAGTGGTGACAGATCATCTCTTGTGCTATTGTGTTGTTTGCCACTTCTTGATGAACGTTCTTAGGGTTTTGTTGATCTTATATATTTCTAGGCATTCTGGGATCCATGTGTAGGGCATTGAATCATAGGCTTTCTTGTAACGAGTCCAGGAGGTGCACAGATTGTTCAGTCTAGTCTTACAATCTTGAGTGACTGCTCCATCTACCAGTAGCTGTTGTTTTACCCCTCTGATGTTCCTGCTAGTTCCATTCTGTGCCCCACTCATGTATTGAACTATGTGCCTGTTCATCTTAGCTGCTATGATGCCTGACAGTTGCTTCCATGTTGTACCAAGGCAGGTTATTGGCCGATAGTTGTACTAGACCGGTGCCTTCTGGGGATGCTTGGGCATCAGGATTGTCCAGGCTTCAGTTAGCCATTCTGAGTGCATTTCGCTCATTTGCAGCTGCTTAATTTATGTTGCCAGACGCTCAGAGGCCCTTTCTATGACGTCTACCACTGTTACTGGATGTTGTTCATTGGTGGGTGCTGTAGTCTACTCTTGGCTCCACCAGCCTCTGAGCATTGTTGATATGGGTTACGTCTTTCTCCCACATGCATTTTCAGAGTTACTGTCTCCAGCCTCAGTGGGGCTGTTCTCATATTGTTACCCTGCTACTGAGAATACACCTTGGATGGAGTGGAGTATACCAGCTGTACTCCACTCCATGGAGTACAGCTGGTTTATTCTCCTGGCTTCTAGCTCTCTGGTATGCCACTTCAAATGCACCTTGAAGAGATAGTATACCTTGCCAGCAGCAGGCCAAAGCCCGTGAGTCTTTGTTTGGCAGGTTCTAAGGCCTGAGTTATGGGCAGCTTGCAGTACTTCTTAAGCATCCCTTTCTTCATAATAATTTTCTGCATCTTATTTATATTCAAACCAGTGTCTGACCCTGTATGTGTGGGGCCATTAACATGTTGCCTAACGTTAAAAGACTCTGTAAAGCTGTGTTACAGGATACGTCATCATCAATCAACTTGTACGTTTGAAATTAGGAGGAGACACAATTCCTAGGAGACTTGCACCAGGAAAGGTATCCAGCGTAAAAATCTACTAAATCAAAATACCTGTGGTAACCCCCTTTAAAAAATTGGTTTTTTTTGGTTATTCTGATTTCTGGAATTCATGGGAATTCTTTTTGCCCATCTCCCCAAGATGGAAATATGGTAAGGCCTTAAGGCTACGCAGAAAACAAAAGTGTGAATTAAGTTTAGTGAATTTTAACAAGTTTTGGTAACTGAAGGTATTTACACTCTGCAATGATCTGTTGTGTAATGCTTTTTCATTCCCATGCTCAATACCCATACTTTATGTGAAAGAAGATGCCAGTTTACATTTTCATTTCTAGAATGCTGCTAGTGATTAACATAAGAAAGGTAAGAAAACAATGCAGTGATGCTGATGCCTAAACTCTATCTTAGAAAATAAAGCACATCTTTGTTATAACTATACTGTCTTTCTCAGGTTCTCATTGAGATTTACTGTTTATGTTCTTGCACATATTTGTTTTTCTTTTAACCTTAATTCCTCTTGATCAGCTATGTAGTAACTGAACTGATGCAAAGTGACCTCCATAAGATCATTGTATCACCGCAGCCTCTGAGCTCAGACCATGCCAAAGTTTTTCTTTATCAGATTCTGCGAGGTAGGTCTTCTTTTCTTTCAGATATCTCTATGGTTACATTTATCCAAGTTCAGCCCATAGAATGGTCTCAAGCGTTGGTACTGATGAAGTTATACAGATATACTCAAGATTGAACAATAATACAGGACTCTTCAGAATTTTGCATCTCTTGACTACAACAGATTTGAAAACTAAATTAGTAATGAAATGTGACTAATTCAATGACCTTCAGTTTTAATTTAAGATTTTTATATGGGAAATCTTTATATTGTATTTTTAACCGTTATAGCTGTTTTTACATGGCTGAAAAAATTATCAAAGTCTAGTCATGAATGGATGAACAGTTTGGCCTTGTTATTTCATGAAATATAAGGTTGTCTATATTTCACTTGGTGATAAATGTGTGAGTGGGATTTGTTGGTAAAGACTTTTGGAGTTTGAGGATTGGGTTTACACTAGGAAATTCCATAATAAAAGGAAAACCTTTACACCCTAAAGAGTTTAAGGCACTCAAATTACATAGGGGTGGGTTTACCATTTTTTTAAATAGCTTTTTTGGGTCTCATAGCTTAAGAATGAGTACTGGGGATATTCACTGTGGAATGCACTACACACAGGCACAGGACTTTTGTTTTCAGACACCAGCTTTATTTCGTGTTGTACGTGATGACTGACCACAGTCTGACAGCTGTCGGACACAGCTGATCTCTCGGCCCCCTTCCGCTCCTCTCCCGTCTCACTATAAAGGGTAAGGAAAGCATCATCAGTCCAAAACGCCATCAGCTGTTTTCACCTGCGTTTCCAGCACCGCCCCGTTGAGCTCACTGCACCACCCCTCCCCTGCAGCCGCGCCCGGGACCACACCTCCGCCACATTCACATTAATATTTCACAGTTGAGGAAAAAAGTACATTTACCATCTGTTTAAAAACTGCAATAAAAGCTACAAACCTATTTCCAAAAAAGTTGAGATGTTGTATAAAATGCAATGACTTACAAACATTATAAATTTATATTTTATTCACAACGGAACACGGAAAATATCACATGCAAAACTGCAGAAAATGTAAAATTTTAACAAAAAATATTAGCTCATTTTAAATTTGACAGTTGTGGTCAAATGTTTACATGCACTCACGAGGATGGAGAATTCTGATATTGATTTCTGTAAACATCTTTTGTGTTTTTTGCAGGGTGAAGTGAATATATACTATACATCTTTTTTGAATTTAAAAAAAAAAAAGAAAGAAAGAAAACTGGGTGCACAAGTTTGACTTTATTTTTGATTTTCTCTAATCCACATACAATATAGAGGAACAAGTTGGTATGCCTGGACTGTTAAAGTTAAGACATTTTAGAACCTTCAGTGGAACGTATTAAAAGGTTTGAGTGTATGTATATATTTGAGCATGCACGTATATACTTCACAGTATCTTTCCTGTTCCGAGGACTGTGCTCTTCTGGACAGATGTCTCAGGTGTTGTTTCTGAGATCTGAAAAATATGACCTAGAGCCACTCATCAACTTGGGTGTCACTACACCGAGTGCTCAGATTACCACAGGGACAGCTATTCACTTCACCTTCCACATCTTCTCAGCCCTTGGTACTTCTTGAGCTTTTCGCGTTCCTTTTTCCTGATGTTGCTATCACTCAGCGTAGCTATATCTATCACTATGGCTGTATTAATCTGCTTGTACACCGCTAGAGTGTCTGGTTACCCATCACCAGTTTGTCTCTCTGTACCTGGAAGTCCCTAAGGATCTTAGCTTATTCCTATGCTGCCATTATTAGTGCCTCTCTGCTACATTAGCAGCCTAGTACTAGTGTACCTCCATGATGATTTTTCCTCTTCTTTCTTGGATTTCTATTGGCTCAGGCATTTCCTAAGCACATAAGCAGTTTTGCCCATCTTCCTGACTTTCGATCTTTTGATCTTTGTTGTTTTGTCCTAGATAGTGGTTGTGACATTCACTAGGCCTCAGCCTCCTTCTTTCCACTTAGCATACAGTCTCAGGGTCCTGGACTTGGAGTAAAACGCTCCATGCATGGTAAGAAACTTTCTTTTGTCTTTTTCCTTGGCTTCTGTCTCCTCCTTTGGTCAGCTTATTTTCCCAACAGGGTATCTGATCACAGGCAGGACATTGGTGTTAATTGCCCCGGATCTTGTTCTCCCCATTCTGCTGACTCCTTAGGAGCACTTTACTTTCTGCAGGTATATGGGGCGACCGTGGCTCAGGGGGTTGGGAAGCGCATCTGTAACCGGAAGGTCGCCGGTTCAATCCCCGGGCTCTCTGTCCTGGTTGTTGTGCAAGACACTTTACCCTACCGTCTACTGGTGTTGGCCAGAGGGGCCAATGGCGCGATATGGCAGCCTTGCTTCTGTCAGTCTGCCCCAGGGCAGGCTGGGGCAGTGTGTGAATGTGAGAGTGAATGAATAGTGGCATTGTAAAGCGCCTTGGGTGCCTTGAAAAGCGCTATATAAATCCAATCCATTATTATTATTATTATTATTATTATTTGGAGGTTGCAGATTTCCTAGTGGCCTTCTTCATGGCTCCCATTTGCCTGTGGGATTAGGTACTTGTAGCTGTCCTTGATGTCTGCAATGTTGCCTCCTGGTAGTACAATTCTCTCTGTAACAAATAAGGGGATAGTAGTCAGAACTGACTACACTTTTCCCAGTCCTAACGGCATTAGAATTTCGTTGCCATAGATCCTACTGGTATGAATCGGTGTATCTATAGGGGTGTCCAAATTCATAGGCTGCATCCTCCTGAGGACCTGGTCTTCGCGGTCGTCCTCCAAAGGCCAGCTAGGCCGGAAGTGAGCGGCTGTGAAATTGGACGGTCTAGCCTTCAGTTTTGCATCACCAGCTGTCTCGGTGGAGTTTAATAAACTTGGCTGTCTGCTCCTTTCTGTCTATAATATAACAGGACACTGGCATAAATTCTCGATCATCTCACACTTCTGTTTAATCAGTTCTCTGTTTGGCATTTATTTAGCTGTGTGAAAACTATAACTTTAATCTCAGCCAAACCGATTTACTCATGAACAAATAAAACACTGAGAAAGCCAAACAATAACACTGTTAAGTTATCTAAGTGACTTGTATATCATGTTTAACCTGAGTAGCGAAAGACCGCGGGTGGGTTGTGCGGGGAGTTCGCTGTTATCGCCCCGGCTAGCTATCAAGCTGCTGGGTAACAGACGTCTCCGAAAATGTCAGAGCACTTTTGCAAATATGTGATAAACCCAGCAGATATTTGAAATTTGCACAGCTACATTCTTGCCTGAAATATCTTAAAAGTTTAATTTGTGACCCAGAAAGAGTAATAAGAGTAATATTAAAACTTAGTAGCAGCCGCCATTGTTAGAAACTGGAATTGGCTGGGCCACGCTATGAATTCTGGGATATGGTGGGCCACAAAGGATACACCCAACCCATCCTTCAAATTCGGGGTAAAGGAGGACGCAGTTTGTCGGCTGCATTTGGAGGCGTCTACAAATTTGGACAGCCTTGGCGCGTCACTGTGAGGTAATCGGTCTACAAATGCGGCCTCAGGAGGATGCAGCGGATGAATTTGGACACCCCCTTTGTCTTGTTTACTCCTGGGATGCAGCTTGTTGTCATTCATTTGGAGCAGGTGATTGATGATTGCTCAGTTCCATAGTCAGTGTCTGTAGCTTGTAGGTCTTGTCAATGATCTTACTAAGGAGTCTTGCCTATGTAGAACAGCAGTTGGGACAGATCATCTCCTTGGTAGCTCCTACACCTGATGTTGACATGTTCCGCGGGTTGGCCTCTAGTGTTGTTCGCCACATCGCCATTGAATTCCTGATATTGTATAGTTCTAGGCATTCCAGGATCCATGTGTGGGGCATCGAGTCATAACACCTTTCTGCAGCTCCAATAGTTTTGCTAACTTCCCTCTGCACTACATTGATCTTCGCCCCTAGTCTCCTTCTCCATAGGGGATGGTGATCCTTGTGGCTGTTCATCTTATAGCCAAACAAAAGTGATCACTGTTGTCGTGGTGTAGATCTGCTGATTTGTTTTGGTAATGGCCATTTTAGGGATTTTCTGTAATGCTGCATTCACATCTTCTAGTAGACCTTCAGAGGGTATTTCATATAGTCTTGGTAATTGGCCATCAAGGGTCAGGTTTTCCAGGTTCCCTATGATCCTATCTCTCAGGTCTCGCACTCAATGCACCTTCCGTCATATTTTTGGGGCTTAGTATGTAATTTTGGGTCGGGGTGATGATGATAGGGAGGAGGCCCTGGGGTAGACCCAGGACACGCTGGAGAGATTATATCTCTCGGGCTGGCCTGGGAACGCCTTGGTGTTCCCCCGCATAAGCTAGAGGAGGTGGCTGGGGAGAGGGAGGTCTGGGCTTCTCTGCTTAGGCTGCTGCCCCTGCGACCCAGCCCCGGATAAAGTGGAAGAAGATGGATGGATGGGTGATGATGATAGCAGTTGCATCTTCCGAATATGAGCAGTTTTTCTCTGGGAAGACAACACTAGATGCAGAACTGTGTCTAAGTTTACATGCTTGTGATCAGTAGGGCTGGGTAACGTCACTGATTTCTAGAATCGATTCAATTCAGATTCACAAGGTCCCGAATCGATTCGATCCACGATTCGGTTTGATTCGATTTTAATCTGGGAAATTTTGCCTCAGTCAGAGATATTATCATTTTGATCACATATCAGTACATTTCCATATTTTTATATCTATAAAAAGAAAGCTGACACTTGCAAGACTTTATCAAAAGTGTGAGCATCACAGCAGATGTCTTTGTGTCAAAGTAACTGAGGATAAAACACAGAAAAACATGAAGGCGACTTTTATAGCAGATAACCTTAAAAATGTTCTGCAGTAGATCAAAAATGAAAGAAAGTCATTAATCAAAATATGAACATTAATTAATTAAATGCCTTTGCAATGTTAAGAAATTCTGTCAAAGTGCAGTTAGAGGGATCATCAATATGTAAATTAAAGTCACCCACCAAATTGATT